TAGGCTATATATATAGAATTACACTTTTTTGACAATTGGTCCAGTATTGAGGGAGTGGGCAGCAGCTGGCAGGTACAGGACTGGCTGCAATGGAAACACATGGGGCAACTGAACACTGTTACTGTATGTACATCAAAAGTGGTTATGCATAGCTGCTCAGATTGTATTAAGTGTTTTTAGTGTCTCTTTACCTTTCACTTGATCCGGTCTTTTTGTTATTGTGACGTTAAATGGATGTCTGGTTGTAAAAACATCACGAGACGTCACCTGTTGCAGTCAGACAACAGTGGAAACATGAGTGAGATTTGGAGAGTATAATAACCAGAGTAGTTTAGACAAAATGTATGTTAGTGTTAGCTGAAGGATTTTCCATGACATGGATGATTGCTTACCTGATTTCAATCATGTGGATGAGGCCTTTGAATTTGATGGCTGCTCTTATTTATTTGACTATATGTATTAACAGCGCACCAGGCGAGGGAGGGGGCAACAACCAACTGAGGTTTTTATTTTACTCTTTTACATAGCCTATTCATTACATCTTACTAGTGCTTCTTGTTATGACACAATCCCCTTTGGTGCTGTAACACTGCTCAATCAGAATCAGAGAATCAGAGATACTTTATTGATCCCTGAGGGGAAACTGTTGGCGTTACAGGTGCTCCTTACATGAGTAGAAAGATATATCGTATCGTATCGTTTTGAACTATAATATACTGATATTATACAGACTTGTTATTGTACTGTAATAGACTATAAGCTGAGCTACAGCTACTGTACATAATGTGCCTTGTGGTACAGATATATGTGTATATAGGCCTAGCAGTGTAAAAAGAAATGTTGTGCCACGGTAGGGTTATTGCACAAGTTAAATTATTGCACTGAGACAGTGTGTGAAATAGTCTCAGGGCCACTCAGAGGGAGGAGTTGTACAGTTTGATGGCTACAGGCAGGAATGATTTCCTGTGGCATTCAGTGGTACATTTTGGTGGTATGAGTCTCCCACTGAAAGTACTCTTGTGCCTAACCAGCACAACAGCAGATGCTGAAGGGACCTCAGTCGCCAAGAAAATAGAGACAGCTCTGGCCCTTCCTGTAGAGAGCATCAGTGTTCTTAGTCCAATCCAGTTAATGTCAGTATGTACCCCCAGGTACTTATAGTCCTCTACAGTAAGTACCTGGGGGTACACAATGACAATAACTGGACCAATTTCAAAATTTGTTGTTCACATCATTCTCTTTGACCAATTCATGCAAGGAAAATAGGGTCCAAGTTGAAAAATGCCAAAGTTATCCTTTGAAGTTTAAATCAAGACAGTGTTATCACAGTAAGATTTGCTTATCTGAGTCCCCTTCATGAAAATCCCCTCTGCTGTTATTGTGTCTGAGAGTAACATTATCATTCAGGAGTACAGCAGTGTAAGCCATTTGGTCACTAAGGATATCTCATTGCATTACCAGGTCATTTATTCAAATACATTTGAATTCTGTGATGAAGGATGAATTATGTTGATGTGAGAAAATGAGCTATATATGTGGGAGATTACACTCGCTATAGCAACCACAAATCTGTTTTTAAAGCACTTGGCACCAAAGTGTACAGTCGGTATCCAAGGTCCTATCCTGTTTCTGAGCACCACCACACAGAATATTTGCTCTTCATCTTGATTACCTCACTGACATAAAGCTGTGATGTTACCAACAGGTTGTATCCTTTTGTACTGGATCATACACACTGACATATTGCACATGTAACATTGGGAAATAAAGTAGGCCTACTTTTTTTTCACCTCAGTATGATAAATAAAATGTACCATATTTAATCTTCTGTACCCAGTTTACATCATCCAGCCCAGACTGCCACAATTTGAACCCATAACTTTGCCAGTTGCAACAATGTTTCTATCTGTTACAAAACGGGGAAAGGGGAAATGATGTAAACTACGCCTTTCCAGATCAATGCCTCTTAAAATCCACTAAACATCAGTGTCCTATTTAAATTTTAGTTTAATTTATTGCATGACTTTGTGCTGCTGCCCCCAGTGGTGCAAACAACTAGGCTATATAACCTAGGGTAGAGGTAGTGTGCATGAAACCTTTTAAAGAAGTCTAAATTCAAATTTCAGTGAGTCCTCACTTTCAAACTTGGCAGAATACACAGAATAACTGAACTATTAACTGTCGTGTGATACTTAATGAAGTTTTCTGATACTCAGGAATGATGGTCTATCAGTTAAACAGTGGGCCTATCTCTAACACTTGAAGCCACTTACTGCGTTTCCCCAGATAGATAACAGATATTTGTCAGTGTTTGATCATTAAAAGTATAACTATTATCCATTTGTATTAAAATAATCCTCAGCAGATGACATGTTGACAGTCACAGCAGCAGCTCCGATACAAGTCTGACTAAACTACACCATAAGCCTCGCCCATCATCAGTGTGTTTGCTGACAGCAGAATAACTTCAGTTTATTACAAAGTCATCAACAGCAGATGGTTGTTTTTAGACTGAGTCCGTGGACAAACATGTGGGCTGCTGAAAAAACGGCTTTGATGGAGCTGTGATGCATTTGAAGTCATTTTAGGAGAGAAATGAGTGGGAAAAGCCGCTGAGCAGTGCTGGCCACGGCAGAGAATAAGTGAGGTTTGGAGGCTCCACAGACAAAATGCAGAGAGCATCAGAGCTCTACATGACTTGAATATGAAGAGACACAAGTCCGCTATCGGCTCCCTTCACTGTCAGCCTTCAGCACATGTCCCACATTTAGTTTTTCACCTTTTCTCAGTCAAAAGAAAACACAAGTGCTCCAGATTTCACACTGCACAGAGGAGCCACGGGCTGGGTTGAGTCTCCACGGTTCTCATACAGTGTTTAAGTACAGCCTTCTGCTCGGAGCTTTCAACAGTCCAGTCAGACTCTCATATTACACAGACACAGAACGGAGATACAGCAGAAAATGGCAGAAGTAGCTCCAGCTGCAGCTGTCGCACCGCCCAAAGTGACCAAGAAGAAGGGTACCACACCGAGGAAGACCGGTCCCAGCGTCAGTGAGCTCATCCTGAATATTGTGGCCGCATCCAAGGAGCGAAACGGCGTGTCTGCGGCCGCCCTCAAGAAGGCTCTGGCTGTAGGAGGCTACGATGTGGACAAGAACAAGTCCCGCGTCAGGACCGCCATCAAGGCACTGGTGGCTAAGGGCTCTCTGGTCCAGACCAAAGGGACCGGGGCCTCCGGCTCCTTAAAGATGAGCAAGAAGGCTGCCGAACCTAAGAAGGTCAAGAAGCCGGCCAAGAAAGCCGCTCTTAAAGCCAAGAAGCCCGTAGCGGCCACAAAGACCAAGACAGCGGCAGCTAAGAAGCCAGTAGCCGCTAAGAAGTCTCCCAAGAAGGCCAAGAAACTCACAGCAGCCAAGAAAGCAGCCAAGAGCCCCAAGAAGGGATCCAAAAAGACTATTGACAAAGTTGCCAAAAAGACCACTGCAGCCAAGAAAGCACCTGTAGCCAAGAAACCTGCAGCTAAGAAATCTCCTGCAAAGAAAGCTGTCAAGCCAAAAGCAAAGAAAGCAGCAGCTAAGAAGAAGTAAATTGTCATCAATTATTCCAACAAACAACAAAGGCTCTTTTAAGAGCCACCCACACCATCCTTAAAGAGCATGTCCTTTCTTCTTTATATTGAGTGCAGGTGTATTAACATCTTAAATATTTGGTGCAAGTGGAAAGAAAAGGGAAACACAGAATCGTTTATAACAGGCTATTATTTATTTGTAACTTACAAGAGAAGCAGCCGTGTTTCTCCTAACCTTAGAATTACCAAGTCATTAAAGTCAGATGTCTATTAAAGATTTTTTTCTTTAACCATAACATGTATGAATGGACTTTGTTGTAGCTGTATGATGCTGTAGAGCTGAATCACAACTGTCCTCACTTAAACAAATTTCGTGATGAATGTCATAGTAAATAAGCACAAGAATAGGCATATAAATAAATAAACAAATCAACAGCAAAGATTAGTGAACGTGATCACTCATTTTATTGAAAACAAAAAGTGATCAATCAGTCATAAAAGAAGAAAAAAGCAATCATAATCAATGGTGTAATTGTGACTCATAGTTTCAAACAACATAACACAGTAAACATGATCTTAATTTATTGAAATAATCGTGATGATCCAGTGATGAATGTGCCAGGAAGAAATACAAATCTCCAGTCTAACCTTAACTCTCAATATTAGAGATTAAACTGTAGTGAAAAAAGCAAAAAATAATGAGAAAAGTTTCATGCTCAATGACATTTAAGTTAAGGCTGTTGTTTAAGTCTTTTGTTTATGGTTTTTGATCTATAGATGTGAATGTCAGGGTGACTAACCACTACGAAAGCTGAGCCGTAGTTTGCATCAGTGCTAAAGATTCTTCAGAAATATTGTGTTGTAAAGATGTACAGCAGATGTCAGCAGGAGACACATAATTATTGAGATATTAGGCTATAAAACAGACTCAAAGTGCAAGTGCAACTCATTTGGAAAAAATATATATAATATAGGCTAGTATGAAAATATTCAGTCAAAGCCAAAATGTCATGACATCCATATCAAATTTGGTCCCCACATCAGATGTTACATCTCATTTATCAGGAACCAGATATCTTTAGTGTCACAACTGAGAGCTGCTGTTCTTCTGGATGTTGATGCTGGTAAATTTATCATCAAATCTAACATATACAGGAGGAACAGACAGCATTCAGTGATTTAGGTGGAACATGACTGCATCTTCTTGATACTGTAGGCCTACAGACTAGTTTTCCTTCAAGTCATGTGACCAAAAATAAATAATTTTAATATTCTGATTACAGATGAGAAACTGGAATGGTTGTATTTTGATGTCAATGATGGCAAGATGGGTTATTTAAGTAGATTCAAACTGCTATTACAGAGTGCAGGTATTGAAACAGTGAGTGGTACTAACCAGAAGTGCAATCACACACACACACACACTCTCTCTCTCTCTCTCTCTCTCTCTCTCTCTCTCTCTCTCTCTCTAACAGTATCCTGAAAAGCTGAAATCAGAAATAAACATGAAGACAACAGCAGATTAAGTGCTCATGTGGGTTGCAGTATCATGGTATCGAGGAAGGTGCTCTTTGGTCAGGAAGTGTAGAACATCTTGAAAAAAAACAAAATCCAAGGCAACTCTTCTCTGGTGCAAAAGTTAAAAGGCCTTTATTAAATGGCTAGTTCATGATGAACATTAAAATCACCAACATGTTTCGGCCATGCTCACTGGCCTTCATCAGGGCATGTTTTTCAGAAATAAACATGTTTTACTATTAGCAATGATTATAAAAACATGCTAACTATAAAATTATGTGGTACACAACATATTTGGTTAGAAATGTTGTCAACACTTAACTGTAATTTTCATGACTGAAATTTCAAAGACAACAGGAAGAACTCTTTAGATAAAGTGGGTGGCTCTTAGAAGAGCCTTTGTGTCGATGGTTATTTCTCAGCAGAGCTGTCTACTTGGAGCTGGTGTATTTGGTGACGGCCTTGGTGCCCTCAGACACGGCGTGCTTGGCCAGCTCACCGGGCAGCAGCAGGCGGACGGCGGTCTGGATCTCCCTGGAAGTGATGGTGGAGCGCTTGTTGTAGTGAGCCAGACGGGAGGCCTCACCGGCGATGCGCTCAAAGATGTCGCTCACAAACGAGTTCATGATGCCCATGGCCTTGGACGAGATGCCGGTATCGGGGTGGACCTGCTTCAGCACCTTGTACACGTAGATGGCGTAGCTCTCTTTCCTGGGTCTCCTCTTCTTCCTGCCGGTCTTGCTGACGCTCTTGGACACGGCTTTCTTTGAGCCCTTCTTGGGCGCTTTGACAGTGGTTTCAGGCATGACTCACGGTCTGCGAGTACTTCATCAATCGGATGTTTTCGTGGAAGAAAGAACAGTTTATTTGTATCCACTCGATGCAAATATCACTGTGCTGTTGCTCGCACAGGATTGGCTTTCTTTTGAGCGGGACTGAGCATGCGCTAAACAAGTAACCGACCCTGTGATCAGATTTATTTACTGCAGGAACAAGGTGATTTATTGACTGACGACAGCAGAAAGTGAAGATAAACAACAAAGCTTCGCTGGTTAATAGTTTAGAGTTTAGTTACAATATGAAAGTTGTTGGTATTGACCAGCGGTGACAACTATTTTCTTCAATGACACACTGCTTTCTGATTAATAAGTCGTCCGCCTACATTTTGCCAGCCCACCACAGCTTGCACTTTGTACATTGTTACTTCCTCTTTAGTGGGCTGTTGTTGGTCTGGACTTTACTGCTCCACGAGGCACCTCCTGATTTCGCCAAGTGGTTGTTGTCCTAAGAACAACATTTTGTACCATATTATTTTTTTAAATCATTTTTTTCTCTATCAACAGTGTTTTGATTGTCTTTTATGTGTTGCATTTAATGCATAAAGTGTGCTGTAGAAATAAAGGTGGTATTATTATTATTATTATTATTATTATTATTGTAATTTAGAATTAAAACATCAGGTAAACTAGAAATGCAGGTTCCAGTTACATCAGATTTGACTTGCACCTCCAGACCAAAAGCATTTCACATATGGGCAGTTCCACATTATACGGTTCCCACTTCATTATTATTACATAGTGTACAAGTGGGTGTGGGACAGAACCAGAGCTGTAAGTGAGCTGGAGTCACGTAAAATCTATCAATACATCTAAAATTAATTATTTGATAGTTATAATTTCCAGATGGGCAAATTTTAAGTAAATCAGTAAATCAAACTGGTGCCAGTTCATTAAATCAGCATCCCAGGACGTAGCCACACCCTTTGACAAACACATAAATTCTTGGAACTTCTTAGATACAAAGCCCTCACGTTTGGGTTTAGTTATTATATAACTGAGAAGTATATGTATAAAGAGCTTGAATAACTGATATAAACTGTAATTAAAGATAAATTACAGTTCAGAGACCTTTATTACTGATAATGAAAGAGTATAAACTTTTCTTGGATTAATTGATAACTCAGGTAACGCTGGATGTTCTTTACAACACATTAACAAACTATTTACACACGTTTTATGATATTAGATTTTGCAGCTGCAAGTTAGTCTCATAGATGCTGAGGACTGTGCCAAGATAATGGACAGATGAAATCATAGAGTCATAGTGACATGTGGGTTTGTTCACTGACTGTGCAGCTTTACAAAGATTAATAAGTTGATGTTGTCGGTGTGACCTGTGGGTAAAGGTGCTCTTAGTCAGGATGCAGCCTCATGGCTGCTCCACCATGATTCAGCACACAGGACAGAGTCAGCATCTCTGCCAGTGTGTCAATTCAGCACCTCAGACAGCGACGGCTGCACAAGAGTCCTCTCACCTACACTTACCTGCTCTCACCTGGGAGAGCTGAGACACAGCTGCAGCCAATCACAGAGCATCCTGCTGCACTACAGAAGGTACTCACCTGCTTCCAGAGAACCTCCAACAAACAGCTACGTCAAAATATCAGTTTAACATACACTATATTACTGAGGTGAGTAAACACACCTGATTTCAGAAATGATGAAGAATAAAGTCTTCAGCCAATAATTCTTAATAATGCTCATTACAGTTTGTTTATCACTCTGTTTTCACTCTTTGTTTGTTTTTCACCAGTCATTCAGTTTTGGTGTCATATTGTGACACCCACCAGACACAGAAAGCAGGTTCCAGCACTGTCAGAGCAGAAACAACCAGGAAGAAGCTAAACATTAAAAAATCATTTTATTGTAGAAAATTTAGCTCTTTTTTTTTTCATCGATAAAAACAGCTTCACATATAAGAGAGAGAATGTCATTTATTGGTACATTGCAGGTCATCCCCCAACAGTCAAATAAGACAAGACAATTAATACATTATTGAAGTGTCAAGAAAACACATCTATCTATCTACACACACACACACACACACACACACAATAACAATAAAGTACTGGTACTTCACTACAAATGTTGTCACTTTCACTGACTCTCAACCACCAACCAGTGTGTCCATCTTCCTCCCTGTGACCCAGAGCCCTCCACTATCGACCAACAAGCTCTTTTGCTGGGACAAATCCTCCTGTCAGTGAGGGAAAGTTCAATAGGCCTTAAAGGAGATCCAAAGGGCCCAAAGAATCTCCCACCTTCTCTGATGCACCTTGTAAAAGTAAAAAGAAAACTAAGAAGAGAATTTATGAAAACAAGATCCCCAGAGATTAAACAAAGAGTCAACCAAATGCAAACACAAATACAAAGAGAAATCAGGAGGGAGCGAGAAAGAACATGGGATAAATTTTATACAGACCTAAATAACAACCTGAATCCCAAAACATTCTGGCAGAAAATTCATCAACTAAATGGAAAGAAAAATAATTCACAAATTTCAGTATTAAGGCATAACGGCCAAATGATAGAGGAAGACAAAGAAAAGGCTAATGTTTTTAAAGAGCATCTGCAAAATGTCCATTCATGTCCAGATGACCCTCTATTTGATCCAGAGTGGAAGGAAATTGAAGAGTGTCAGGTTATTCTGCCTACCCATCTACCAATAACAAATATAGACACCAACAACCCTCTAATAAAAGCCTTCACAATAACAGAGCTTCAACAACACTTTAGAAAACTTAAAGTAAAAGCTCCCAGTGAAGATGGAGGGGACAACTGACTCATCAAAGAATCATCAATAGAATCCCTGGCTAAACTTGCAGACCTCTTTACTCTTTGCCTCCTAGTCGGTTACTTCCTAAGCCCTGGAAATCAGCTCTGGTATCAATAATCCCCAAACCAAACAAAGATCCTCACCTGGCAGCCAACTATAGACCCATCAGCCTCCTGAGCACTCTGGGCAAACTACTGGAGAGAGTGCTGGCTGACAGAGTTCAAAAATATTTTGATGCTCTGGGAGTTTTGGGGGTCCACCAGGCAGGATTCAGAGAGGCAAGACACAGACTCAACCACCTGAAAGTGCTCTGCAGAAAACAAGGAGGAGCAAATCCAGAGACCGCCATATGCGTACATCAATCCTACATTCGGCCTCTGTTTGAATACGCAGTGCCTGCCTGGTGTAACATTGGAGGAGCACAATTAAAGAAACTTCAGGTCGTCCAAAACATTACTATCAAAATGTGTTACAGAATACCCAAGTGTGTGTGTGTGTGTGTGTGTGTGTGTGTGTGTGTGTGTGTGTGTGTGTGGATAGATAGATAGATAGATAGATAGATGAGCAGATGGGGGTGATGCTAATGGTGATGCTAATGGTGTGTGTGTGTGTGTGTGTGTGTGTGTGTGTGTGTGTGCACTTAACCCTTTCCTCCCTTTTCCCCTCTCCACTCCGCATGGAGAAACCGATACTGAAGAGGACGGCTGTCCTGAACGGTTTCAGCCCCAAGACCTTCTGATCTGATGTCGTTGTTCAGTAGTTGGCGCTAAAGAGTTAATGATCAACTGTCATTAAAATCCAAAGAAGAAGAACAGCCCGGCTCTGCTTTCAATTACGTCCTCAGACAGTATTTAACTCCGTGTGACTTCAGCAGTGAACGTTATTGTGCAGAAGAATCTGAGCAGTGAAAATGAGCGGAAGAGGCAAGGGAGGAAAAGGACTCGGTAAAGGAGGCGCTAAGCGTCACCGTAAAGTTCTCCGTGATAACATCCAGGGAATCACCAAACCCGCTATCCGCCGTCTGGCTCGCCGTGGCGGAGTGAAGCGTATCTCCGGTCTGATCTACGAGGAGACCCGCGGTGTGTTGAAGGTGTTACTGGAGAATGTAATCCGTGATGCCGTCACCTACACCGAGCACGCCAAGAGGAAGACTGTGACCGCCATGGATGTGGTGTATGCTCTGAAGAGGCAGGGTCGCACTCTGTACGGCTTCGGAGGTTAAACACTTAATGTTTATCACTGAAAACCAAAGGCCCTTTTAAGGGCCACCCACATGAATATGAAGAGCTTATCTTCCGTTTTGATTCTCAACGTTATTTTTCATTTCAAATGATACTGGTACAGGACAGGCCACTCGTCTTCTATAGGGTTTCATATCTGGCTTCCCGGCACAACATTTAAATACCTTTTTATTCTTTTCAATGTATTTTATTGCCCAATCCTCACCAACTCTTGTTGTGGACGTGTATCCTTCACAGCCTGGAGGCAATTAAGCCTCTGTGCTTTTCCACATAACCTCCTTTTTAAATCTACGGTGTGCGGTCGGAGAGTTAAGGCCTTGCGGTACTTTCCTAGCTCACGGCGGGACTAACTACCACAAACCGCTATCCCTTCGGCTATTACTTTATTATGTATAATTTAGCCTATTTACGTAGCTAATACCTAGAATCTGGAGTTACGGTATGCATTTATCTCGCATTGTGTAATTTTAAGGTCATAGCAGGCGGGATAGGGGCGAGGCAGGATAGTATATCTACCAGGGTCTCTCCAGTAGCTTACCACAAGCACAAACACCTACTTCAAACTAAAATTGTAAACGTCCCATGCTCAACCACTGCGTAATGGCGCACAGTGGTAGGGCACAGAAAACATGGAGTTCTCCGCAAAGTGAATGAACACTGGGAACAATAAAGGCCACTGCTGTGAGAAAACGGAGATGAGGAGGAGGGAGGAGCAGTGTGGGGAAAGAACAGCGCTCCATGCTCTGACAGGAGGGAGAGCGCACAATCGAATAACCCAGCATGAATCACACCGACATAACTCTCAGTACAAAGTGAGTCATGGAGAAACAGGAGACGTCCAGCAAAAAAAAGCCAATGAAGGAGCACGGAGAGGACCAGGACACATCAATGCAAATGTCTTCCATTGTCATTCTGCAAAGCCGTGGAAGATGAATTTCCTTTGGTGGAGTGCGCACAGATGCTCTCCAGGGGAATCATGCCGAAGGAGAGTGGTT